AATGATGATGTGACACCTGTGACCTCAACTTGCAGTCTTGCGTCATCTGACGATCCAGGGGTCGCTCCAGCAGGATATGCGACTAGGTCTTCAAGTGTGGGCAAGTTGTCCGACTTTGCTTCTCCAAAGATCTCCTTGAAGATGCCCTGCTCCCATGGCAAGGCAGGCATGCCTGCGCCAATCGATGCCAAGCTCTGCTCGAAGATTGTCCTCTCATAGTTCGCGCGCTCCTTCTCAGTGAAAACCGGACCTTTGTCCAGCACCTGTTGTCCATGTGCCTGCCCATCGCCAAGCAAGCTGCCAACTTCAAAGCTCATATCAAAAGGAGCCTCGTCGGCTACCAGCGTTGGCTCTTCTTGTGGCTGGCCATCACCGAACAAGATGCCAGCTTCGAGATCTGTTCCATGAGGTACCTCTTCGTCCACCACGGCAGGCATGGCCTCAAGCCGCGATGAGAGCCCAGGTTCGTCCATATCCACCATGGCTCCCCCCGCTGCCCAAAAGCAACACGCGCAAACTAAAAGAGGTCCCACCCACCTCTCCCTTGAACAGAGACTACGTGTCATGAACATATTCCGAATACAAGCTTCCGAGGAACGCAATGAAACATCTTCGAATTGAATCAAGTTTGTTTCACTCAGCTGAAACAAATACGTTTCGATTATATAAATAAGTTCTTTGTCAACTTCGTCAACTGCATTCAAAAAACATAAATTCTATTTCATCTTGGTTAAACTCAGTTTGAAACCAAGACAGTTGAAAGCTGCTCACAGCAAACGCACCTTTTTTTGACTGACATTGGGGAATGTCAAGTCTCTGTTGGGGGATAAAGTTCTGTCATGACCATCGCTGATTGCGATACAACTGATCGTACATATGCTCGAGGCTTTGTTGCAAAGCCACCAATGTCACCTGACATTCATGATCAAGATCAATTAGAAATTGACAGTGCGTCGGAGGGACAAGATTCATTCACAGAGGAAATGTTGTCAGTGATTTCATCGAAGGCATAGATGCAGCAGCGCACTTGTTCTCGAAATGCAATGAGGCGCTGATATCGTTGAAGATGAGCGAGAAACTCTGTCATCTTGGGTGGTGGGCGGGCCAAACAAGTAGCGACGAGACTAAACGAAGTCCCACCCTCCACTACCTCTGACTTGTAAAAGGGGCAAACGACAAATTGAATTCAAGTTGTTTCAGACACCGTCAGAAACAATACACTTCACTGAAATAAGTTCTTTGTTAACTGTGTCAACTGCATGCATTATTTCATCTTTGTTAAATTCAATTTGAAACCAAGACAGTTGAAAGCTCCTCACAGCAAACGCACCTTTCTTTAACTGACATTGGGGAATGTCAAGTCTCTGTTGCTTGCCTCCCTTGCCACACTTCCCCCTTTCTTTACGAGCGAGGGGGGCAGCATCGAGAGTCCCTCGCCTTATCGAGGATGGCTTGAAAGTCAGGCGCTGGAGCCCTCAAGGCTTTGGCCAGCTCTTGCATACCATGGAAACACTGATCCATTCTGTTCTCATAGGCAATCTGATGAACAATGTCGGAGAGGACAGGGTTGGCGGCATATCCCTTGGAACGTTTGGTGGCCTTTGTCAGCGTTTCTCATCATGAGTTACTTGACGGCCATGGACGACGCAGGCAAAAGCAAAAACATTGGAAAGAATCTTGTGCGTAGCATCAAGTGCTTCAAGTTCATCCTAGGGGGATACTTTGAGATTGAGGTTGTCCTTGGACCGGTCATTGTTGGATGTTTGAGTCGCGTTCTGGCAACAAGAGACCCCACAAGTCAAGCAAGAGCATTGACAGTTGCTGAAGTGCAGTCACTGGAGTCTTTATTGACTACGCTCACCAACAAGTATGACAGGTACTTTGTTGGGCGCTTGCTGTTCTGCTTGTACTCCAGGTCAAGATGGAGCGACATGTCCAACATCCAGAAGTTCTACTTCGATGTCATCGAAACCGAGGACGGCCCCTTTGGTTTCGTAGAAGCGTTCACTCGCATCCATAAGACGTCAAACACGGCTGAGAAGAAGGCAATGTACATGCAATCCGTAGCCCCCCGTTGAGGGAGTGGGCGACTCATGCTGGGCTTTAACTTGGAAGAAGGTGTTGGAGGAACTCAAGCTGCTAGAGGGTCGAGAACCTTGTGGACCCATCTGTCGAGCTCCGAACGCAGATGGCAGTCGACAATTACTGTGAGAGCCAGGTCGACAACGCCGTGACTGTGGTGAACACATGCACAGTGGATGGAGTCGATACCATCGCAGCGATGGCCATTGAGTACATCAAGCTTAAGAAGCTCAAAGGCAGTGACACTGCACCGGTGGGGCGCAGCTTTGACCTCAAAAGTGCCTATTGGCAGCTGGCGGTATCAGACAGTACTCCCTCCCCTTTGGAACCAAGGCCAGTGTGGTGGCCTTCCGCGTTGCGTCGCGTTACTTCGACGACTATGACTATGCGTGCGTACTCTGGGAGTATGACCGAACAGGAGACAAGGCAGATGTCATGAGCGAGACTGTTCAAGCACTGGGCGTGATCATTGACCTCAGCAGTACGAGGACCATGTTCTGCGAGTGGCGAACACAGAGAAGAGGAGACAACACATCAGCGAGCAGATCTCTGCGGTTCTTGAAGTGCGGTCCATGACCTCACATGAAGCCGCATCACTCAAAGGACGACTAGGGTTTGCTGAAGGGCAACTATTTGGCCGAGCAACCAGGCGCTTGATCTATGAGCTGGGAGCGCATGCACTGTATCCAACCTCGAGCCATTGATGCTGAGGTCGGCGAGGTTTTCTTCATCTTCACAGACGCTATCTTTGCGGGTGAAGCCCGAGAAGGAGGCATTGGTGCTGTGCTGCTGGACCGATCCGGCTGCGTTCAAAGTGGGGTTCTGCCAATCCTTCATGGCTGAGGAGCAAGAGCAGGCGATAGGGGAGCTTGAAGCCTTTGCGGTCTTAGAAGCTCTGGTGTTGTGGATGGACTTGATCAAGTCCCGACATCTGGTATCTGATAATGAAGGGGCGCGCTTTCTCATTCTTCGTGCTGTGGAGTCCACTTGATGAATGCTTGCAGGTCGCGAGCACGCTTCAACACTGTTGCGGGCGATCTTACTCCGCCAACTTTCGTAGCACGTGTTCACCAACACGCGACTCAAATTGACTGCTCTCCAGGATTGTCAGCCAACTGGCCAGTGCTCTTGTCCAAATGAGGTTCTAAGCCTTGGGCTCACGGTCGCACAGGGCGCGGACATGCTTGGCAAACAATGGCAAAATAGGTACACCAGCTACAGCACCATCCTCAGCAACCTCAGCCTTCTCCTCATCTGGTTCAGCTGTGGCCAGTGGTGCGGGTGCAGGTGCGACATTCAATGTGTCAGGCAGGCCATTGCTTACCTCAGGTGCAAAGATCTGTGCAAATACTCCCTGCTCCCAAGGCAAGAGTGGAAGACCAATGCCCAGGTTCGAACATGTCATGTTGAACATCGTCCTCTCGAATTCAGAAGCCTCAGCACGGGTGAACCTGGGAGATGCCACATCGAAGGCACCAAAAAAGTCCGTGCGAAACTCTGAACCCACAGGCTCTTCTTCCAATTCATCAATTCATCGCCAGGTCCTCCACCATCAGAATCGACCATCACGGGACCATCATCCATTGCGCCCCCGCTGCCCAAACAAGTAGCGACGAGACTATACGAAGTCCCACCCTCCACTACCCGCTCTACCCTTGACTTGTAAAAGGGGCTAACGACAAATTGAATTCAAGTTGTTTCAGACACCGTCAGAAACAATACACTCCACTGAAGTAGTTTCTTTGTTAACTTCGTCAACTGCATGCAAAATGGCCCTCCCTCAGTTGCCCTACTGCCATAAAAGAAGGGACGCGTGTCCAACCCGACTTCCCTTGCACCCCACATCGAAACAGCGGCTGGCCGCAAGTAGCCAGCTGTGAGGATGAACTCCCGCCTTTTTGTGGGGTTGGGACACCTTTTCTTGCTGACAGGCTGTTGTCCTAAGGGCGCCGGGGGCTGTGCCAAGATATCAATGCTCCACGCTAGTTACGTGCAAATGCTCTTCCATCACGGCGGGTCTTCGCAAATTGAAGAATGGCCTAGCCGCATGCAGCAGCACTGCGGTAGATTTGTTGGTGATCATCGGCCACTCGTCTTTGCGCATTCCCAAGCAGTGAGGTCGACATCCCATTGACTGCACGATAGGTGTGGCTCACGAGCAGGGGAACAGGCCTGTGGGCCACATACAATGGCAAAATTCCTTAGTAGGCCTCAGCCAAATGCCTAGTACGGTACTTATATTGTTCCTTCACCCACGAGACTCAAAGAGTTGCAAGTGCGTCATGTCCAGGGCCAGCCGCAGAGCCAGTTCATGTTTGGGCGTCAGGAAATTGCTATTGGGAACCCATGTCTTTATGGCCCACCAGCATAAAGATGCTCCACTCCAGCCCATCACGTCCTGCCCCCCCCTTGATGGTGTCCAATCTGCTTGCCCAGGTCTGTCTCAAAGTCCGGCGGCATCGTGGGTGCCAAAGAGCTCTGTGTGACGCCCTTGGTTTTCCCCCGCGGGGTGGGTTTGGATATATTGCTGCACGCGGCCCCGTGGCGCCCGTGGTTGCTTGTAGCATCGGTGCCCGAAACCCAACCTCCCAACCTTTTGCACAGCTTCATAACTCGGCGGAATCTCATGAAATATTGATCTCGATGGCCTGTGAGGCATGAGGATCCAGAACCGATGTCTGGTTCAGGTGGTGGACAAGGAAATGTTTGGACTTGGCGGTGCTCGAGCATGTGGTTGTGATGCATGCGTGTATGCATGTATGGATGCACGCGTGCATGCCTGTATGCAAGTAAGCACGCACGGATATGCATCTATGCACAATGCCAATAAACACGTACGTACGCGTGCATGCATGTCTGCACACACCGGTAAAGCAAGCCTGTGAAGACTCAATGAAACCGCACTTCAAGTCCCAAGCTCTGCGAACAATTTGATCGGCCTCAGTTCGATATGTGCTACCACACCCACCCAAACCAATACAACAGTCATTCACTTTCCTTGAAAAAATGCCACACTAGCTGGGCGCAAGCGCGGGGTTTGCGGCGCAGATCTTTGCGGACCCTGATTTGCAGCTTTAGGTGCGCACCAACAAAAAGGAAAATCAGGAACCGCTCCAGAAATGGTCATGCAGCCCGAAAACAAGGCAATGGTCCAACCACTCAACGAAAGCACTGAAACAAGGATTGCATTGTGTTATTCCGTGGTTGTTTTTGGAAACCTGACTGCTGGGCAAGGATGCGATGATAGCGGTACAGCTGTGAACTGTGAACAAAGTCGTCAACCAAGCGCTAGCTGCATGGAGAGGAGTGCCTCAAGGAGTCGCTGCACAGCCCCTGTGATGAGCCCTGCCAGCCAGCACTGCTGACAATCACACGCCAATTCATTTTGTTCATGCGTTTTCATGCTGCATCTACCTTGCCATGAACCTACATCATCTTGACGCAAAAGAATAGCCAGGCCTCCTTGGCCTCCCATGAACCTGCAACATTGCTGGGTTGGTTCGTGCAAGTTTTTCATGACATTTTGCTTTCACTCTTCTCCAGTACCTTTGTTGCGGTCGTCCAACAAACTCGGTCTTCTTCACATGAAAAATACAATGGTTTGTCACCCCTAGCGGCGCAAAGTCGCCGTGCGATTGCCCTGCCATACTGACGAAGCATTGAACAACTCCAAGCACACAACTTATGGAGCTGATCCAAAACATCATAAGAGAGCAACAAAAAAGCGAGTGCCCACGAAATTTTGACCACCCTTCCATGGCAACAGTTTCACAACGTATACGGGCGCAAACAAGAGAAACGCAAAAAAGGACCACGACACATGCGCCTTTGGCCTCAAGTGGCGGCACACCCAGCCATGCGGAACCAAACTTAACATTTAACAACCTCCACCCACCTGCTCACGGGCCGGGCCACTGGGAAGCAATTTCCACCTCAAGCCGCAACGTTTCCCATAGTCAAAAGCACCGCCGCGCGGGACAGCAGCACGGCGCCAGAACTGTGCGGTCGGACACTCGAAAAACGCACCTGCAAGTCCACCCACCGGTTTCGCGTGCCTCTGTCGAGGCGCGTCCGCGACGCCATTGACACCACATGAGTCCCTCCACCCTCTGCCAACGGTGCCCGCAAACACTCCGGTCCAACATGACAATACAGAGAACACACGGGACGCTGCGGATTGGGTGTCTTGGGCGTCGGGGCTTGCGCAAGTCAGTCCAATTCATCCGCTCCCGGCAGCCTGTGCGTCCGATAGTTGATGGCACGGCGCTACAATTTAACACATGAGCCTATACAAAGCACTTTACGAACCACAAAATGTTTGGGCACCACCGCTTGTGGACTCTCATGGGCAAAAGCCATGTGACATCGAAGTCCAGCGAGCTGAGCGCAAAAGAAGTCCAGAGTCAGGCCGAGAGCTGCCCACACCTCAGCGCGGGAACAAAAACGTAAATTTTCTGCATGTGGCTAAGGAGGCCAGGAAACGTGACCATAGCGGCAACCCAAGCGCTGATGAGATTACAGAAGCTGACAGCTGTATTGCTTCAACATGACCAAAAAATGTCCACTTTGCGTATAATTTTCGCCTATGGAATGGAAATTTGATTGGCAATGTTTAGTTTAGCCTGTATCTTTGCATCTTATCTGGTTTCTGTTGCACTAGCCTCCTCCATGCCAGCAATCTGGCTGCCATATCTTCAGGCCTGTTATGCGGCGCGGCATGAGGTCTCGCCTTGTATGATGTGGCATATATTGCGCCGGCACTCGCCGCGCGGCGGAGGATGGAAGATGCACGCACGAGTCGGTGGGGTGAGTCCAGGGTACGTAGCGCTGCGGGACGCTCGGTGACGTCGCGGCACGAGTCGCACTACTTTGCCGTCCTGTAGTGCTCATTCGCGCTGGCGGCTGAGGTCCGGTGGCGCGATCGCGATTGCCGTGCAGGCCCATCGGTGACCACTGCAATCTAGCGCTCGCAGTGGTGGTGCCAACTGCGAGGTGGCATTCGCGGTTGGGCCCGATGGTGCCCAAGGCCTCCTGAACCACAGCCCACGAACTGACCACTCCACGTGAGCTAACCCTCGCATAATTCCGTCACAGTAGACAAATCAACACTACCAAAAAAGAAGTTGTGGTGTGCCATGGATGCGTGGAGAGGGCGCCTAAGACCACCCACACGCAAAAAAGAACATTCTGCGTGGGCACAGATTTCCGACACCAATGGGGCCAAGACCACAAGCGCGCAAACCCGGACGGGGGCGTCGCTTTGGCCCCCCCAATGCGGCGTAGGCCCCAAAGCCAACCTTCCGCAGCCAAAAGGCATGAAGAAATCCAAAAAACTGGTACGGCAGAAACGCGTTCACCAGTGGAGGCTTTGGAAATGCTACTTGGTCTGCCTGCCCACTGGCACATAACCGACATGACATCATGCCAAAAAGAAAGGGTCCGCAAGCGAGCTACGAGTGCAAACCGAGACACCTGGAACCCCGCCAACAAAATAAAACAACAAGCCTTGGTTCATTGGCTGCGGGACAGGTAGCTTTTCGCAAGCACGGTGACAATCAAAACACATCTCTGAAGTGATGGTGGACACATGACCAACGCAATGCCTATATTATACTTGAGCGGGGAAACACGAAAGGCAGAGACGGACCGGGTAGCTGTCGGGACCTTTTCTGATGAGGGACTGACTCCGGTGTTTCAGGAACGTGCCCCTTGGTCAATCATGGATGAAACCAACAAAGCCAGAGAGCACAAGAAGGCTCAAGAGGAACACAGTTGCGGTCAGATTGCGCCACACGGCTCTGCAGAGAGGCGTTGCGTCGACGCTCGTTTGTGTAAAGGTGTGTGGAAACAGGCGCGCGTAAAAGTCGCAATGCGTAAACGCTCGCATGTGTACCAGCTATGGTCCCACAGCTGCACGCACTGTGTCAGGATTACAGGCCTGCACGCGTTGCGTCGAAGCCGCAGTGACCAACCCCCTTGTAAGGATAGGGGGTGCGGCCGGTACTGCCAGGGATGGACGTCACGCTATGGTGGGTGTGCTCCACGATGCGGTAAGATTTCGCCACGCTAGGGTATAAGGCTGAGTCGAATGGTGTTCCGCGACGCGAGGGGTTTCTCCACAGGGCTTTGCAGAGAGGCTGCGTTGCATCGATGCTCGTTGATGTCGAGCAATATGGTCTGTGAACGCAGTACGCGCTGTGTCAGGCTGCCGGGTGCGCACGCGCGGCATCGAAGCCGCATTGCGCGACCTCATTGCGCAGGGTTCGTGCTGTATTGCGCAACCTCATGGCCAGCGTCGTACTGCAGTGACTGCTGAGCGCATGACTTCACCTTATGTCCAGAATGCTAGCAGCGCTGGCGACGAGACGACGAGGGGAGGGGTCGGGGAGGGGAGGGGTGAAAGAGTGACTAGGGCGTACACGGTTGAGGTGCAGACCGCTAGTGTCTTTTGCTCACGCAGAGTCTTATCCTATACCTCTTGAGCCTTATGGCAGTCAAGCATGGACACACTAGATAGGCCACTGGAGTGGAACCTGTACAAGTAGGCCTCTACATTTCAGCAGGCGCAAAATTCATGTCCACTCCTGCCTATTGCGTATGTCGCACACTATTTTTCTACCGTAAGGCTAAAACAGTCCAGCAAGCTCTAGTAAGCTTAAAAGGAAACCACGGTGCCCTGTACTTACCAATTCCAGTGTATTGCACACTTTAGAAAAGGTAATCTCTAGGTATACTAAATACAGTGAGGGAGCAATAGCTGACTCACCTCAAATACAAAGTCAAAAACAATGTATCTCGGCTGGAGACTGTATCGTTCACCGGCAAAGATACCATGTACCGGCGCTCAATAGCCCTTAAATAGCCAGAGCTTAAAAGAAACTTAAATTCAAAGGAAAGCGGCTTTCTTACACAGAGACCTGTAAAAGCAGTAAACGACACTCGCGTAACGAAGAACTAAAATTTCAAGACCGCACAAACTGCAACGAATTAAGACGCCTTGCAAAATGCAAGGAGCGTCAACTCTCGGTCCGAGGAATAGTCTTCTCGAAAAGTGGTCTCGGCCGCTTCCATACACAGGACTTAAATAGAAATGGAACTGCATCAAAAGGACTCTTACTCTCATTGACACCAAAAACAAAAGGAAGGAGACACCGGCAAATGTATGTACAAAACTTGCACTACAAATGCCAACTTATGAAATGACTTAATCATCAACCATGAATGGTTGTCCATTAGAGGTCATTTCATAAAGAGCGACTGTGGTAAACATCATCAGTTTTGAAAAACTGTCCATATCTACCTGCAGATAATATCTGTTTTGTAAAACTGTATTTATCTGCATGCTAAAGTGTAAAACTTCAGCCTGGCAACTTAAAGTCAAGCCTGGAAGCAAAGTATCAACTGTGATCAGAAGTATCTTCACTTCCTAGCTATCATTAAAAGTTAGCCTATGCTCTGAGGTTACGCCGCTGCAGTCGATGGAGCTGCTTGATCAGAAGTTGGTGGCCTTCCTTTCCTTTTATTCTCCTTCTGTCTCTCCTTCCTCCGCAATTTCGCCTCATGAAGAGTTGCTCCCATGCGATACTGTCTTCTATCTCCAGATGAATAGGAAGCTGGTCTGAGTGAAATAAACATTGGACCATGACTGTCCAAGCTTGGCGATACATGTTTGTCTACCATTGTTGAATGGGGTCATTCGATGAGTGAAGAGGAATATGAAAATTCTACAGTGAGCACGAAGGAGTTCATCTGTAATTTTTCAGAGAACTTTGCTATGATTGACACGGAGGTTATGTGCTCAAGGCCCTCTGACGAGTTGATCCCTGGTATACTTCTTTCTCTTCTGTAGAGTATTCTTCCCAGAGTTTCTCAAAGTAATCTTCACACTGCTTGAGAACAAGTGAAGATGAACTGTAAAATGTTCTGGGAATAGGTGCTTTGATACCAGGATCTGCTTTTACACGAGCTTCTGAAAACCTGCGGATCCAATGCTGCATGGTGCTGTAATAATAGTTAGCCATTGGTTGCCTTTTGTACCCAGACATTCTGTAGGCCAAACTATTTGCATCACCAGAAATGATGTCCACCTCATATACAAAACATTCATACAGCATCAATGCTGTCTGTTCTCCTGTCAGTGAGTGGGCATCCACAGCACGATGTGTATCAACATGATAATTACAGACTCTGATGGTATGCATGTTCGCTCGAGTAAGTGGAACACGCTGTTCCTTAGGACCATAGTCCTCAAATTCATAGTCTGCATCCTTGAAGTCCTGACGAGGCCTTGTTTCTCCAAAACAAACCTCAAGGTCTTGGTCATGTCCAGCAATGATCTTGATATAGCCATCTGGTGACAATCTAGCCATCACTGCAAGATTCTCCCAATCATTGAAACAAACTGTCCAATTCTGTTGCTCAATAAATTCCTTGGCAGGAACAAGGAGCTGAGCTTCCTGGAGAATCACGACATGCGCACGTAAAAAGAAGAGCATGTTGAAGAAAAGATTGTTTTCGAATTGCTCATATTGAAGTGACATGGCACTCTGCTTGCGTGGCTTCATTGCACGATCAAGTCCTTGGAGAAACCTTGGTGTGGTGTACTTCTGACCACGAACCATGTTGCCATAGTTCCAGGATAAAAATGTCAAGGACTCTGAGCTGGCCAATAAGTTGGTTCCATATTGTTCTTCTATTCTTCCCTTGAGGAACCTTCTGCACAGCTCTTCATAGAAGGTGACAAAGTCCCAACTGGGTCCCTTGGGACCATATGATTCCAGTTCCTTCTTAAGTTCCTTCTTCGTATCCTCCAATTCTTCTCGAGCATGCTCTGCCCTTTCAAGGGCCTTTGGATCGACCTGATACTTGTCATCCAAATAAACGATGCGGTCATCATTGATGAAAAATCTCTTCAAATCATGCTCTGAGCTGTCCTCATAACAATCAGGTGGAGGTACTGGACAGACCTTTCTAATGGATCGAACAAAATCGTTCTCATTGATCCTTGACTGATAGTGAGGATGGGGAAGCTCACCTTTTCTGAAACAAACATGGTTCAACAATCTCGTGTGAGTTTCCCTGAAGCATTGTTGATAAAAGCCAATACCTGGATCTCCTGTAATCTCTCCAA